CCCCCCCCCCACCATTTAAACACACAGCCTGCAGTATGCTGGTAACACAACAGATGCAAAGCTTTTTCTATGGGAGCTGAGCATTATGAGCCTGTGATATAATACAACTCCTACACTTCAACCCAAAGCATCGGCTGAGAGGCAAAAGCCACACCAACCACCCTACAATGGCCTTTTATAGTTCTGTCTGCTCAGAACTGATGACATCTGATTGATTGCTTTGGTCTGCTGAGCTCCCGCATCATCCATGCTCTCTTGCTAGTGTCCTGAAAGGCGGACTTTTCCTGAACTTTGCAAGTCTTCATAACTAAACTTCTGAGGTTAGGTTCACACCTCACCGCTCGGCAATCGTGCACGATTCTGCACGGCAGGAGTCGCCAAGGTGTGAAACGATCGCGCTGCGGGGGCCATTATTTTCTACTGGTACCCCAGTCGTGCCGGGTGGATCGCACGGTTTCCCGCCGCGATTCCGCCCGTGCTTCCAAACACGATTGTGGCTAAAAGAGCTGCGCTTCCTGTATTGTAAAAAGAAGGTACATGTACCTTTCTTCTGTGATTGCCGCGCAGATGCCACCCCATTTAAAACAAAGGGGCCGTTCGGCAATCGCTGCATTGCATTGTACAGGACCGCGCTTCCCGGGTGTCGTGTCGGGTAGTGCAGGTTTTTGTTACAATATACAGTAACCTTTTTCTCACAAACTCCTTTTCGCAATAAAAAGCCGTCCCTGAGCCCAATGATGACTTTTCCTAAGCTGATATGATGCCATCAGTCTGCTGCAGGCAGGAGGAAGCATTTCCCCAGTCTCCCCTCCCCCAGTTATCAGTCTGCTCCAGGCAGGAGGAAGCATTTCCCCAGTATCCCCTCCCCCAGTTATTAGTCTGCTCCAGGCAGGAGGAAGCATTTCCCCAGTCTCCCCTCTCTCAGTGATTAGTCTGCTCCAGGCAGGAGGAAGCATTTCCCCAGTCTCCCCTCTCTCAGTGATCAGACTTAAACACTAACTTTGTAGGAAGTCAAAAGAAGAGAGGCTGCAGCAGGGGCTGATCTGTGACAGTCATTTGTCCTGCCCTGGCCGCAGGATTTACATGACTGTGTCATCTCTCAGTCGGCATCTCACTCCAGGAAATAGATGGTGACCCTGGATGATGATGACTGAACATAGATAGCTCCGGCCTTCTGGAGAGAAAAGCAGATGAAGGCATTGTCAGGGGGTGTGCTGAGATGCTTGAAGGAGGTAATCAATACCTCTGTAAGTGTTACACTCACACACAACGTAATACATGTAACTCAAGTGTTTTTGATGCCAAGTCCACCTTGAGGTATACATGGACACGGGATGAGTCTTTCTTTCAGTTATATTGAGAAATGCTCCATGTATGTGAGACATGTTCAGTTCAGGGCTATCTGGAGGAATAGTGATTGGACACATGAAATACCCTTGCATGGTCGCTATTGCTTTCATGTTACAATGGAGTTAAGCTGGGTTCACACCTAGGCGTATCGAATATGCACGTTTGTCGCGCGTTTCGTGTCGCAGGTTTTTACCGCGATTCGCTGTAAAAAAACGCGCGACAAACGCGCGTTTCCGAGGGCTACTTGGCTGTATCCCAATGGATACGCGCGGCAAAAACGCCCCAAAGAAGCTCCTGTACTTCTTTGGGCGTAGGGCGTTTTGTAGCGCGTTCATACGGCCTGTAATACGCCCAGGTGTGAACCATACCCATAGGAAATAATGGGATTTCGGTGTTTGAGCGTTTTGCAGAGCGTAGGAACGTGCTACAAAACGCCCAGGTGTGAACCGGGCCTTAAAGGTTTCTGCAGCGCACCTCACCCGCTATCTCCATGGGTCACCTCACCATTGCCTGATGCGGCGGTTTCTGTTTTGGAAAGCTATGACGGGTGTTTAGGCAGTAAAGTCAGCACCATTATTGAGCTATGACTTTGGTGAAATGCATTGCATAACTCTCCATTTAGTCATCGTATTGTTTTCAGTCTGTCTGAGCCTACCAGGTAGACTTGTGTTGAGATAGTGGAACAGTAAAGCACAATCTCAATGCAGCACTTCTGAGTAGGAATCCGAGTTTCCATGTGTTATGAGTAAATATGTCTGACCCGAAGTATATGTATAATTAGAAGGTTTGTGGTCATCTCACCATGACACCTATATGAGCTTGTTGGACATCATATTCCATCACATTCCCAAACAATTCATCCCCACACAGCTACCTCCTCATGTATTACTTGCCCCTCCCTGTTAGAATATAAGCCCTCAGGGGCAGGACCCTCCTTACCATCTTGTCTTGAATTGTATTGTGATTGTAATGTCTTCCTTATATTGTAAAGCGCTGCACAAAGTTGTTGGTGCTATATCAATCTTGTTTAATAATAATCATTATATTTGAAGGCCATGGGCTTTTTTTTGGGGGGGGGGGGGGGGTTTCCCCCCGGGGGGGGGGGTTTTTTGGGCCCGGGTGTGTTTTTTGGGGGGGGGGGGGGGGATTTGCCCCCATTTTGCAGCTATAACGGCCTCCACTCTTCTGGGAGGGCTTTCCACAAGGTTTTGGATGGTGTCCATGGGAAATTGTGGGGTTCATGGGGTGAGGTGCTGATATTGGAGGAGAAGAACTGGCTCACAATCGATTTATTAGTTCATCCCAAAGCTGTTCAGTAGTGGTGAGGTCAGGGCTCTGTTGAGGTCATTCAGGTTCCTCCACATCAAACCATGTCTATGAAGAGCTGACAAGGAGCTTCACCAAGCTGTTACCACAATAGTCTACAACAATGGTTCTCAACCTGCGTAACCTCAGGACCCACATTTGTCCTGAGACGTGACCCAAGATGCACTGCAATGGATCGCACGGCATTGCGGTACCGCTCGTTCCAATGTGGGCAATAGAACTGTGGGTGGGAGAGGTGTTTGGGGTGCCATTCAAATGAATGGCAATGCAATGCACCTCTCACACCAGATACAGTGTTAATCTCTTAGGACTGTGCGATGAACGCACTGTACTAGTGTGAATGGGCCCTCAAAAACACTGACGGACGCGCAACCACAGACACAATCTCACACACATATGCACTCCAAAAAAGATTTAATTTTGAAAAACATCCATCCAGTCTCCCTACCTTACGAGAACTGAAGTCGATCCTTGGTCTGGGGTACAGTGTGGGCTGCTGTGCTGTGATGGAGCTCCATCCATATTTGCATCCACTTGTACAACTCCCTTGTGCGCCTTGTGTTGAGGTGTCGGGAGCCAGAATGTGACGTCACTCCGGTCCAGACACCTCTACAGGGCAAGTGAGGGAGCTGTAAGCAATGCATGTATGGATGGAGCTCCCTCGCGGCCATACCCCCAGCCCACCCGACCTCAAGCTGACAGTCGGCACCAAGCAGCATATTTTAAATGGCTGCTTGGTGCGAGAACTGACAGTGCTGTGCTAGGGGTAAGGCTGAGGAGCCTCTCACTTAGAAAAGTGGAAGGCACACGGGGACCCACTGAACACAGGGTTGCGACCCACCTTTTGGGTCACGACCCATCAGTTGAGAACCAAGGGTCTACAATGTCTTTGTACGCTGGAGCAATACCCGTACCCTTCAATGAACTCAATCATCTGGAGGAGGGTCTACACACCCTTGGTCTTAAAGTAGATGTGATGGTCAGATGTCCACAAAGCTTTGGTCATTTATGTACATAGAATGTTTTATAATCTTAGCACACATGGATGACGGTGAACTGAGCTCAGCAAATTCTTATACCCGGCTGATAAAATTGGAGAAGTCTTCCGGTACTTGCGGTCGGTACCAGATTTGAATAACAACAAATCGGACTGTCTAGTTTTTATTCTAATCTCTCTCCCTTCTCTGCCGCTGTCTTCCAGGTGAAAAATGACTACATGTCGGAGATGTCGGACCAAGTGGACCAGGAAATTGCTTTGAAGCTGGGCTGCCTGGAAATTCGGTAATATCCTAAATCTTCCGTATTACACATATCCAGCTGGAGGTACTTCCAGTCTGTGGTTGGTGGAGGTGAACACCAGTCTTGCTTATTACTCCGGCTATGTATTTTTCTGCTGTTGTCTTCAACTCCGCACACACTGGTTGCTGGTTTGGGTGTACAGTGCCCCAAAATGTATCTGCAAACGCAGCTTAGTGCAGGCTCGGCATGCCAAGATGAAGTAACTCATGTGAGCATTCATAGGGGCCCGGCCAATCAAGTGGCTAAATAATCAGAACCCGCAAGAAGACGGGGACAGAGATGGAAACTCCAGCGAGGGAATAGCACAGCTCTGGAGGGGAAAGTCTGCCATAATGTACTAATATTCAGCCCACACTAGTACATTATGGATGAAAGCTCCAGGGGGCTCCTTTTTCCTGTTTTCTTGATCACTCTACTTCTGCTTTAAGAAGTCAAGGAACTCCTATACGCCTATAACTAAAATCATACTTTTGGCTGGATTGGCCCGTAAGCATGTGTATCTAAAACATCAGTATAAAGTAACCGCATACAAAAACATACATGCATTCCTATACTGCATGTGACGTCCATCCTTCCCACCGCCCTTCCCAATCAGCACCACCATCTCAGCACATCACAGCTACGTTGTTCTGAACCAGGAAATAAGAACTCCTCTCCCAAAGTGCAATGCTATGCTCCGTTTGATTCAGGGTTCCTCAACGCTTTCATGCCTACAGACCTCCCCTTCCCTAAAATGAATACACAATTTGTCCCCATACCCCCTTCTCCCCGTGTCCTGAACCAGGAAATAAGAACCCCCCTAAAGTGCAATGCTCTCCTCAGTCTGATTCAGGGTCCTCAACCTTTTAACAACTAAATACCTCACCCCTCCAATTTATTTCCCAATATGTCCTCTTACGTCCTTCGACATCATCATGGGAACCATCTTCATCATTAACAGTATGACTTTTAAAAGATGTGATTAGCTTGGTTTTGCTTAGATACAGATGGCTGGGAACAGAACAGTGGAAAGAAATCCATATGGATTTTATATTTATTTTATTAAAAATGGAAAATCACAAAATACACAAACTAGACACAACAGCAGAAATGTATTTGTGTGAGATCAGAGCATAGAATGGAGGTCTTATTATTCGCAGTGTTATTTACATGCCATCTGACACATTAAGTCGATGTTTCCACTTTGATCGAAGGCTTAATAATGCAGAGAATCCTGTTTACATTTTTCAGAGGTCAAGTCCCAACCCACCCAACATTGGAGTCCAAATACCACCAAGGGGGTAGATACAATAACAGCCCCCCCCCCCCTTTCCCACCAATTAATAGGGATGCACGATAACAGATTTTCGGTATCAAGTATGAGTGCCAATATATTTTTTCCGGTACTCGCCGATTGCGATACCGCAAGTCCCATTCAGGAAGCCAGGCGGCGTGTAGAGACTTGCCACCCGGCTACCCGATTAGCATGGAAGCCGTCTCATTGCTCCCTCATCACCAAGTGACGAGAAAGCATGGAGCCGGCTTTCTGGCCAGTCAGGAAGCCGGGCGCTATGTAATGACTCGTTGCTCGGCTTCCTGATTGGTTGAAGCTGGCTAATTAGGAAACCGGGCAACGAGTCATTACACAGCGCCTGGCTTCCTGATTGACGAAGTGTATGAAGCCAGCCAGATGATGAGGGAGCATGAAGCCGGCTTTCTGGCCAATCAGAAAGCCGGGGGGCGGGTAATGACTCGCTGTCTGGCTTCCTGACCAATCGGGAAGCTAGGCGGTGAGTCATTACACGCTGCCCGGCTTCCTGATTGGCCGGGCAGCCGGCTCCATGCTCCCTCGTCACCAAGTGACGAGGGAGCATGGTGCCGACTTCCCGGCCAATCAGGAAGCTGGGCAGAGTGTAATGACTTGCTGCCCAGCTTCCTGATACCCGAAGCTCAAGTATTGGGTTAGGCATCAGAGCATTTGGGCGACTACGAGTACTCACCCAGATACTGTATCGGTGCATCGCTACCAATTAAGAACTCCTGCTCTAATTCTCTTTCATTGCAAGTTGTGATCTCTCCCGCTCTGCCTATTAGTCTCTCCTGTGGTGTGGAAACATGTAGACGTGTTTTGGTCTGATACTTCGCTGGATTATCACTTTAATACCGCGCTTTTTTTTCTTTATAATTGGGCCGCAGTTTATATATAACAATGTTAATTTTCTTGCAGGCGATCATACGGGGAGATGAGAGGGAATGCTTTGGAGAAGAAATCAAACTATGAAGTGTTAGAGTAAGTGTCGGTATATTATCATTATTATTATATTCCGGGAATTACCGCTGATTGTTCCCATTCTTGTCGCGCTGCAGCTTCTCCTCCCCTTTATTAGATCATATGCAGCGTGACATTTACTAACGGTGTATCACCATCAGTCAGCCAGCTGAGCTTTCATTTGGATCGTTAAGGAAGAAGTCTCATGAGGAATAAAAGATTTCCTGCTGGTCTCTTGATTTTACTTTAAATACTTATCTTAGAAAAGAAATGCCGAGCAATTCTCCATACAATCACACCTTTATCTGTGCTATTATTGCATGTGAGCTCCACCCCATCATGAAACCTGCTTTGTGGGCATTGTGTGTTTCCTCTCACTTTTTAAAGCCAGCATGTTTCCAAACAGATGGCTCCAACTCTCTGCACTCAACTTCCCTGATCTTCCTGTCCAGGACAAGATCACAAGGGAGAGAGCAGTCTCCAGCAGCTGTCCATCTACTAGCTTGGAGAAGGAAGTGCGGGGGTGAGTGCAAGAAGCAGAGAATTGGCTTGCCTTGCAGTATCTGTGTGTTTGTGGAATAATAGTCCCAAGTCCCACCAAACCGGAATCCCAAAGTTTATAAAACGGGTGCTGGTATGACCAGCGGATGGCACCACGAGAATCCAATTATAGTGGGAACTCACCCGCAGTCCAACGTGTCGGAACTATCAATGGTCCCTTCATCAGGCAAACATAGTGACAACCAAACAGGATGAAGTGCAGCAATATATACAGTGACTATTATGCTTTCAATTAGGGATGCGCCGATACTAGTTACATAGTATTTGAGGTTGAATAAAGACATTAGTCCATCAAGTCCAACCTATTAGGATCTCATTCTAGGAGTACCTGTACCCCTGTATATTACCTGTACCCCTGTATATTACGGTCCCTTAAGAAATCGTCCAAAAGTTTCTTGAACTAGTATCAGTATCGGTGCCGAGTACTTGGGTGAGTACTCGTAGTCGCCCGAATGCTCTGATGCCTGGCCCAATACTTGAGCTTCCGGTATCAGGAAGCCGAGCAGCCAGTCTTTACACGCTGCTCGGCTTTCTGATTGGCCAGAAAGCCAGCTTCGTGCTCCCTCTTCACCTGGTGACGAGGTAGCATGGAGTCGACTTCCCAATCAGGAAGCCAGGCTACGTGTAATAACGCGTTGCCCGGCTTCCTGATTGGCCAGCTTCTCGACCAACCAGGAAGCAACGGGTCACGGTGACAGAGGTAAGTATTTACCGATTTGGTAACTATCGCTCCCAGGATGGACTACAAACATAAGATTGTAGTCCATCACAGGAGCGAGCTTGGAGCGGATGTCTATTTACAACACACACTGGGACCATGGGGAACAAAATTAGCCCCTCTCCAGAAGGAAGGACAGTGTCAGCACCAATTCAGAGATGATTTGAGGGTCTACAGCCGAGTGATACACAAATAAGATACATTGTTGTTCATAGTTAAGGTACCTGAATGTGTTTTTAAGATTTAACTCCTGAGTTTAGTGTCACTTTAAAGTAGAACTGAAGCCATTTTCTAGCTTAGCTCCTGAGCGACTGCTGGTAGGCACATTGGGCTCCCAAGCTACTGGCTTATGCAGTTGCTCATAAATCTTTCTCTTTCCATTTTCTCTAATTGGATCTGTTCCTACACATTGAACTTCCCTTTACATCCAGAGGAACAGATACAGTTTCATATTGTCGATATTTGAAGATCGGTCATATGTATATGTATAAGTCACATGGAATTTCGATAAACGCGATTAAATTGAGGAGCGTCGAGGCCTTTATCTAGAAGCAATAGGAAAATCTATTTTGGAATGCTGTAAAACTCATAGCTCATTACCCACAATCCATCTCTGCCGTACCCAAAGCCTGAAGTTTGGACTGTGAGTGATTGCATGCGGTACTTTGCCGGCTGACCCAGTCGATGGAACCGTGCATTTAAATTGTCACTTAACGATGTCCAATGACTGTAGAGAGGTTACCGAGCTGCTGGCCAAATACCTTGACACATCAGTACATGTTAGAGTGCATGAAGGAACCCATCCATCTCTGCCATCCTCGGCCCGAGCCGTGGCTTGCAGCCACGTACTAATGACACCCGGGACACAGCAGCGGGAGGATAAATAACCGAAATCTCTCTCTGTATCACTGATGGGATTTAATAGCTGGCTTCCTTAAAGGGAACCTGTCATCAGTCATCAACTGTGATAAACTACAAGGGGCCCGTACCAAGCAAGCACTACCATCAGATATTTCTGATCCGTCACTTTTAGAATGACCCCAAATATGGGGCAATTCCAAATCAGCTTCAAGTCGATCCTCAGACATGCCCCATACATCTCTAAGCACTTGGCATTATGGCATAAAGGAGGCATGCCCATTTCAATTCCTAAATGTTCCCTACTCTATCCAAAACTAAAAATGGTTTGGCTACACATACACTTTTTTGTTCAAAAACTAGAGGCCATCACCTAAAATTGGTGGAAAAAAAATTCCAGCACAAGGGGCGAAGGGGGTTCTTCACAGTAAGATCAGTTAGGGTCTGGAACTCACTGCCACAGGCGGTGATTTCAGCAAATAATGTGGAATTGTTCAAGAAACTTTTGGACGATTTCTTAAGGGACCGTAATATACAGGGGTACGGGTACTCCTAGAATGAGATCCTAATAGGTTGGACTTGATGGACTAATGTCTTTATTCAACCTCAAATACTATGTACTATGTAACTTTAATGAGACCGGCGGAAATCCAGGCAAGGCTTGTTTTGGGTAAGGTAGGGAAGGGTTAGGCATTCTGCCTGGTTTTTGTCTTTGTTTAATTGCTTTCTAAAGGAGATTTTCCCTCACTTCCTGTTTGGTTACTGGAACAGAAAATGGAGGGAAATCTACCCAATGGGTTGTCAGACAGTAGCAAAAGCAGAAAGAGGAAACAGACTCTTCCTACTCTGCCCAAAACTTATACAAGGTATTGGCTGGAGTTGGGATTGAAGCTCATCTCCAAATAAAAAAAGGACCCTTGCAGTTGGGGCTACCCCCCACACTGCTCATTCTTGTCATATTGCGATTGCCACGCGGATGTAACCCCATTGAAATCCATGGGGCCGCACAGCAACCGTGGTGTGCAACTGTGGGTCCTGGGACACCCAGGTCTGCACCAACCCTTTGTTTGTGAAAGTTCTCATTCATCCAGGTCATGGTATATCTGTATAAACTAAATCAAAGCAACAGGGACTTCCTGTATAAGACGTTTTGCTGGTCATCCGAGTAGCTTTCGTAATTCAGAATCTGAGAAAGCTAGTCGAATGACCAGCGTAACATCTTCAAGAAAAATACAGCAAGTCGAGTTGCTTTGATTTCTTTTTTTACAGGCAAATTCCATTAGGTATTGCAAGACTGAAAGCCACAGGCATGACTCCCAGAGGCAGATGCATGATGGAATTTGTGGTCTCATCACAGCTGGAGGGGCCCGAGTTTGCCGACTCCTGCCCTACTCCACCATAACCTGTGTTGGGTACAACACAGGTTATGGTGGAGTACAACACAAGTTAAAAGTGGTTGGGTACAACACAAGTTAAAAGTGCAAACAATTAAAGCAACAGACTCCATATTTTTCCTCTAGTATAACTTGATTCATGACTTGTGTCTTTCAGGAAGGACGTGGGTCTGAAGAGGTTCTTCCCGAAGAACTTGCTGGATTCCGCGAAGGTAAAATCTTATCTGTGTGTACGAGTTAAGCACGCACGCACTCCTATACAGCTGAGATCATTCTGGATCATTGGCAAACCTTCATTATGAAGTCATATGGCTACTCCGGATATTTCTAACCTAGTAGTAAAGACGGCCATACGTGGACCAATTTCCAGGCAGATTAGACCTGAGGGCCCTTTCACACCAATTACAGTGCGTTCCAGAGCGGCAGGGGGCGTGGGAGGGGGTCAATGCAGTCACGCTGCAATCGGACGCGCGCCTAAACATTGCCTGCGTTCCGGTCCAGAGCAAACGCAAAAAATGCTGCATGCTCTATTTTTTGCATTTGCAGTTGACCGGCGCGCAGGCAATGTTTTGCCGCACATCCGATCGCACTGTGGGGGGTGCTTAACTGCGGTGCCATTGACTTCAATGCACCGTCGCGCCACCTCCCGCCCCAGAATGAAGGGGGGAGTTTTGTGAGCGATTGCTGTGCATTCCAACAGCTGCCGCTCTTGAACGCACCGCAATTGGTGTGAATGGGCCCTGAAGACTCCTATTGTCTGCTTAGCCCTCACTCATATGAGTAACAGCTGGCCCGTACAGCTCCGTGCTGCGTGCACGGCCGTATCGGGCAGCTCGGGGGAAGGACAGGTGCTGCGTGTGATTATACGCAGCAGCCTGTTCTTCTCTATGGGAGTACGCTCAGCCGAACTGCACATCCGTATGGGTGCAGGTATCTGTACTTGGACGCAGGCAGGATGGATCAGGGACCCCGCATGGACGTGCAGTTCAGGTGCAGCACCTGTCCTTCCGGGGAGCTTCCCGATACGGCCTTGCACGGATCTGTACAGGCCGACAGTTACTCATGTGAATGAGGGCTTATAATTCCCCCGCGTTGGGACACGAAAAAGATAGTTGAATCCAGACGTTCTCCCCTTAAATTAGCAATTCATCACATTGCTTTGTGTCAAGCTGATGAAGGGTGTGAGCCGCGTCAGCCACTGCGTGGATCAGATTCATTCTTTTCAAAGCCTTTTGTCTGGCTGATTACAAACCTTAAAAACCTCCTTTGATTGTCACTGCTGTTTAGCTATTAAATGTATTCGCTTCGGTTACTTTTGTCATTTTGGCCTGGAGTGCTGTCACGGCCCAATCAGCAGGCCAGTGACACAGAAAGCTGCAATAGTGTCGGCATCACAGCGGTCCAGTGTGGCAGAGGTCTCTGAATGACAAGATTTGCTGAACAGAAGTAGAAATCATTTGGCAGGTAAAACAGTTCACACACATAAACTGTAACTGTTCATTCAGTTGTTTCTCTTCTGGTCATCGTTAGAGCTGCAGCTAACGATTATTTTCAAAATCGATTAGTTAGCCGATTATTAAGTTCGATTTAATCAGATAAAAAATAAAATACATTTTAAAAAAATGGCTCCAGTGATGGGACTACTAGTTTGTATTGAGATTGCACTCCATCACAGGAGCAAGCTTGGAGCGGTCGAAGTAAAAAAGAAAAGTGTGGTGTGCAATATAGTGAAATGAAAAGTGTAAAATTATACAGCAATGATGAAGAATGGCATCGACTATAGAGGACTACAAAACCCAGCAATAGTACATTGTACAGCACAATGCAGAATACCACCAACTATATAGAAATACAACAAATCCCAGCAATACATTATACATACAGTGTATAATGTATTGCTGGGATTTGTATTCCTCTATAGCTGATGGTATATTGCTCTGTATAATATACAGTACAGCAGAATGTACCATCAGCTATAGAGGAATACAAATCCCACTATCCCAGCAATACATTATAGAGCACCATGTGTGGGAAAGTGCAGGCTTACATGAGCAGTCTTCCAGCAACTTGTTTCTGAGATCGGTCCTGTCTATCAGCGGCTGGCATCCACCCACACCTGCTCCTCCTTACTTCTTCTCCCCGCATCCCTGTGCCGATCGTGGATGTGGGTGGGCGGTGAGCGTGAGGCGGGGAGGAGGTGCGGCGTGTGGAGCGTGGATGCGGGCGGGTCTGGCAGCGGCGAGCGTGAGGTGGGGAGGAGGTGCGGCGCACAGCGTGTGGAGCTGTGAACAGGGCCAACTGATCGGAAGCCGATTAATCGATGAATGAAAAAGTTGACAACTTTTTCAATAATCGATTATGTCGATTAGTTGTTGCAGCCCTAGTCATCGTTAAAGCCCAACTGAACTCCGGGCAAATCTTTTATTAACCCTTGCAGTGGCGCTGCTCCTGCATTGCAAGGGTTAACTGTGTTCTAGGTGCTAAAATAATAAGTTATCCTCGACTGATCCTCTGAGCTGGCTTGCTCCTAGACCGGTTCTTCCAGCCTCTCTCCCCTCCGCTGCTGAGGTTGTAAGGTCCCGGAGTCATCGCGTCCGATACACTGTGTATTGGACATGAGGATGCTGAGGGGCATATCACCGCTGGAGCAAAGGAGGGAGCGCTGTCATAGCCGGGCGGCTCCGAGCATCGGGTGCATAAAACTTTATTTTGCTCCCTAGACAGGAACGAGCCGTTAACCCTTGCAGTGCCGGGGGTAATCCCACTTTGCCCTTGCAGTGCCGGGGGTGGCCCCTCTGCAAAGGTTAATAAAAGCTTTGCACGGAGTTCTTCGTGAAATCCACTGAATACTATTCAGGTGCATCAAATCAAACGACGTGCAATATCTTAGTTTTCATAACACAGCAGCCACATCTTGAGTACAAATGTCTGTCCCATGAGCAGTGCTGCAGAGAAGGAACCTTTGCTGTCTGTGAGGAAGCAGAGGTATCTCTGCAGAGATCTGACACGTTCCCTGCTGAATCAAGGCTTGGGCTCTGCAATCACCGGGGAGCGTGTGCTTTGCTGATTGCAGAGCTCTTGCCCTGACTCAGCAGTGGGCACGTTGAACCTTTGCAGACGTACCCCCGCTTCCCCACATCCTCCTCTGCAGCATGCTGACACTGATTTCCAAATTTTGGGGATCGGACAAACTACCAACTCTTAATGAAGGGGATCCTTTCCTCATCCTTTAACCCTTTCACTAACACCGACTTATGCCATATGCCCTCTAAACCGACTCCCGGCTTTGCATTGCAGCTGATTCGAGTGGCTGTAAAGCTGCCCGTTCACATCCATGGGCTGCCAAATGTGCGCCCCCTGGGCCCCCCCTCCTTCCCGTCATCCTGGGCTCCGCCTTCCCTCCTGCATTGTGACCCTTTCTAAAGCATGTATTGACCCTCAATGCCTGGAGCTCACAGCCTGGCCTAGAGGTGGATATAGCCAGAAAGGCAAGATTATACTCATCCCACGGAATTACTTGTCAGAAGTCAGATGGAATGTGTGGAAGTGACCACTGTCATTCGTGATATCTGATAGTGGTCACCGTGAACTGGAAGCTTTTGGATGAGGACAAATTTGTGGTGGTGTAAGAATAATGTTTATGACTTTCACTTCCTTACATCCATATTGTGATTGTATATCATATTCAGTTCTGTGGATTTCCCCTTTTGCTCGCCTCCTGTAGCATCTCTGCAAAGCTGCTGCTGGGATTAAAGGAAAAGACACAAAAACAATGTTTTTAATCAGTTTGAGCAGATGGATAGTTCTGCTTCGAGAGGGAACAGTAAAGCACAATTACTGCGCAGCGTCCTCATAGCGGGCAACACAGCATGTAGATGTAGAGAGCAAAAGTGCTTTCAGAACATTAAAATGCATTCATATTTACATGCTGCTGGTAAGATTTGGTTAAAGTGAACCTGTTGTGAAGAAAATGGAAGGCACTAGTATACCAAATGACCAGAAATATGTAGATGCCCCCTCCAGAGTTCAGGAACAAAAATCCTAATCCATAGAGGCGGCATGGTTTGAGAAGGTCAGCGAGGTTTCACTACTTCACCCCTATTGAGGGCCTTTGGGATGAGTTGGAATGCTGATTACACTAAAGGTCTTCTCATCCAACATCAGTACCTAACCCTAACCCTAAGGGGGATGGATACCCTACCCTTACCCAATCTAACTTACCCTACCCCACCCCAACCTCAACCTAACCTATCCCACCCCTACCCTTACTCAACCTAACCTGTACCCCTTACCCAACCTAACTTAACCTACCCCACCTCAACCTAACCTACCCCACCTCAACCTAACCTACCCCACCCCTACCCCTTACTCATCCTAACCTACCTCCTACCGCAACCTAATTTAACCTAACTCAACCTAACATACCTACCCCAACCTAACATACCCCACCCCTAACCTCTACCCAAACTAACCTACCCCTGACCTCAACCTAACCTACCCCACCCCTACCCTTACTCAACTTACCCTACCCTTACTCAACCTAACCTACACCCTACCGTAACCTAACCTACCCCCTACCCAACTTAACCTACACAACCTCATCCTATCCTACCCCTACCCCTACCCTCTACCCCTACTCAACCTAACCTACCCCCTACCACAACCTAACTTAACCTATCTCAACCTTACCTACCCTCATATAGGTGTTTATATACCAATCTTTTTGTCAAATTTTAACTCCAGTTCACCCCCTAGGATTAGTGATGGGCTCAGGCGTGTTCGCAGCTCCATGTGCCGAGCCCACCAGGAAGCTGACAGCGCCGCAGCGCCAATCACAGGCACTGAGACATATCCTGATCTCTGCAGCTGCGGACCGGGATAATGTCTCAGTACCTGTGATTGGCGCTGTCGGCTTCCTGGCGGGCTCGGCACGTGGCGCTTCGAACACGCCTGAGCCCATCACTACCCAGGGTGCAGTTTGCAGATTTTGCTTTACTTTGGATCTTGGGATCCCCTCATCTAGCATCTCACAAAGCAATACAGATATTTCTGAATCGACTGCAGAGGCGCCCGCATTGCTTTGTGTGATCCAAGTGATGGAATTGATCTACAGCTTGCATCATAGACAATACTTGCTGATCAAAGTGGCCGACTTGTCTGTGTGACTCCCACACATGACCATTGGTCCCCTGCTTAGGAGGAGCAGCCTACAGGCCGGAGTACGAACCTGCCCTGAAATGTTCACATCTTTGATAAGCAGTGCTGGCCATGCCTGGCTAAGCAGGATTGTTTGGGTGAGCTGAGTATTCTTGTTGAGGAGTGTGGTGTGTGATGTCTGGGATGATGTATGCACGGACGCATGATATCTTTGTTATTTCAGAGTTATAAGTGTCTCTTCTTGCCTTGAATATCATTTTTCTTGCTTGTAAAGTAGATTAGTGTTTGCTACCATAGATGGCCTTAGACATTCTGTCAGAGTATGAGAGACCATGAATAGTTGGGGAGTGTATTTGCAGCAGGATGACATATGCACCATCATCCTTAGTCCTGACACTGAGAGCAACCGAGTAATGGCCAAAAATTCCTCATACAGACTTTTCCCGACATTTGTGACCTAGGGGTGCCTACTAAGGTCTTTTGAGACAATCGAATATGATTGTGACTACCTCACACTCTCCTAGTTTTCTGAATATATTTCTAGCTGAGGAAGTGACTGTATTTCATACACACCATTATTGACTCCATATTGTGTTCTTTGTCACACGCAGGCAAAAACGCTTCGGAAGCTGATCCAACAGACGTTCCGCCAGTTTGCCAACCTGAACCGAGAAGAAAGCATCTTGAAGTTCTTTGAAATCCTCTCGTCGGTGTACAGATTTGATAAGGAATGCTTTAAGTGTGCTCTGGGAGTAAGTACATGACAGAACATAACATACATACAGCTGCTGGCAGATGTCTAATGTTCGGTTTAATCCACAGGAATATTAAATGATGAAACTCTAAATTTGATTCTAAAATGTGCCTGTATACCACCTGCTTGTATAATTGCCTGCAAGCTAGCTAGCATTGGAGCTAACCTCCATGGTTATGGTATGGTAGCAGAAGTGCCTGCACTGGCTGCCCAAATGGCAGAGCAGTGATGGTTTGGTTCTTTCTGTAGCTTAAAGCCCGCCTCTAACCAAAATGTTTGTTTTTGATAAAGCAGGGACGAAAAATGTTGCAGTCTGTGGCAACACTGGGATATATCCTCCCACTTCCTGTGGCAGTGAGTCAGAGGAACACGGAGTGATGAAAAATCTCTCCAATGGGGACAGAGACTACAATAAAAGGAAATTTTTTAGTGCAGTGGGGAACATGAGAACTTTGACCAGGTTTTTATTGCCATTTGTGCCTTTCCTTGCTGATGATCACTTGTCCCAATGATCCTCTGTCTCCCTTAGTTCTTTACCTGGTGTCATACAGTGAGGGTAAAGCTCCCCAATAAAGTCACAGACAGCAATAAAACTTGATAGAGGTTTTATAAGTTTTTAGTGTTGAGAGCAGTTTTTATGTAGCATCAAATTTCCTAATTATAGGTCAGCATGCCAGGGGGTGGAGTCTGGGATCTCTAAATAATTTCAGACTCAAAGAAGGCAAGCATTATGAATGGCACCATTTTAAGCTGGGACTGATTCAACTTCCACGCAAGGTTAAAAATGTTTTTCAAATCTGTACCCTCAACTGATGAAAATCATAATGTTCAATTTTTTAGGGAATGATCTAAAACCGAGCATTACCAACCTTACTCCATGGTCCTGCAGTCTTCCTCCCTGGCAGCTCTGGTTTTGCTGACTGGCCCCCTTGAAGCTGCTCATCTTGGTCTCTAAGCAGTCTTGTCACCAATCCTTGAAGACGATCTTTTTGTCATTCTCTAACCGGTCTGGTTGCCTCCCCTCGAAGCCACTCTTCTTGGTCTCTAACCGGTCTCATTGCCTCACCTCAAAGTCGCTCTTCTTTTTGATTTCTGAGCATTCTTGTCAACAACCCTCGAAGCCGCTCTTCTTGTCAGTCTCTGACTGGTCTTGTTGCCGCCCCTCAAAGACCGATGCATTGTACCTAATGATGTAGGAGTGCCCACCCCGCATTCCAGCACTGGGGGAGAACAACCCTTTGAGACCATGGAGTAAGATGCTCAATTAAATCATCCCCTAATCAGGCTTTACATTCTTTATCAGATGGGTTGGCTGCACAATGTTAATGGTTTCATCTTTGCCCTGGGTTTTGCTTTAAATAAATGCTAAAAAGTTTCCAGTGACTATGTAGCTGCTATTAAAGAATATGTCAATTCTGTGGAAATTCTCCTATTCAGTGCGATTTCCCACAATTACTGAATAAAGAGCAGTGTGGATTGATATAAACAAAGCTCCCAGAATGTGCAGATTAACAGTCATCTCTAGGAGCCCCCCTTGTAACTAGGTGACTCTGGTTTCTGGTTTATGATTGTTCTCTTTTATAAGATTAACTTCCCCTCAACATTTCTGGATGCAGCTCAAACCACAAGACTTCTCCCTTCAGAAAAACAAAAGTGGTTTTCCTAGCAGTTTTCTGCGTGCACATGTCTTCCTTTATGTAATCACATCGCTTACTTTCAGCTTATGTTCTTTAAATAGCATTTGCAGAAAACCCCAATGTTCCTGTTTTCAAACTGATATTATGAGGAGATGAGAATTTGCGTTTTTATTATTATTAGTAGTATTCTACAGGATTTATATAGTGCCAGCAGTGAGCGCAGCGCGTTACAAAACTGAGGGAGACAATGCAATGAACAGTACAATTTCTGTACAGGAGGTAGGAGGGCCCTGCTCACGAGAGGTTACAATCTAGTATGTATGTTTCATCCTAATGAAGCCCTTTCCTAACCTTTTTAATACAAAGGAACCCTAAAAAAAACTTTTGTGCCTCAGGGAAATCCCTTTTTAGGCCTCATTCACACTGCTGCGCATATATGCGCGTACGTGCGTATTGTATCATATGTAAATAAATGGCTCACTACACATAGCTGTGTATGGAGCCGTATATTTGCGTAGCGTAAAAATGCGCAAAAACAGAATAGAACCCGAGATACATCCGGGCAGCGTATTTCTGCATATTTTACGCGCATACGCGTGTTTGCATGCGTATATGTGCATACAGTTCATTAAAATTTCTATTACGAATGATGCATTCTGGGATTACATATAGTGCACGCATATACGCACATATGCACGTATAGATACGCGCATATACGTGCATGTACGCGTATATACGCAATATACAATTTTGCTCTTGCGTTGTGTGTGAATGAGGCCTAATACTTAGCCCTCGCTCACACCTGAACGTTTTGTAGCGCGTTCTACACTCGACGAACGCTCTACAAAACGCTCAAAAATATAAATCCCATTGTATTCAATGGTCTCGTTCCCACCTTGGCGTATTTCCGCCCGTCCCTAACGCGCTACAAAACGGCCCACGCCTGAAAAGGTACAGGTACTACTTTGGGCCGTTTTGTTGCGCGTTTCCATTGGGATACAGCCAAGTAGCCTTCGGAAATGCGCGACGGTCGCGCAGCTTTTTTTACCGCGAATCGCGGTAAAAAATACGCGCGACGGTCGCGCATAATGCAATACGCCTAGGTGTGAACGAGACCTTACAGCTCGCGGTACATTGCCGTGTAAAATAAAGGATGTGGCACACTTAAACTATTGGTCACCCAGTGCTGCTCTGTGTAACAATATTATTTTTAATTATATATAAATGAAAGTAATGGCAAAAATAATAAAACATTGTTCTTTTTTATTGGTGGTTCATGGAAACGCGTCCAGGGACATTTATCAATGAATCAGTGACACAATTAGACACAAATCAAACTGCTTCCTAATTAGCAAGTCAATACAGGGCTAGTCTGTCTTCCTGTGTATTTGTCACCCCGGCATTTGCAATCCTTAGCAGCCAGCTGAGCCAATTTTGCAAAGTTCAGTACAAATACAGTGGTACCTCGGTTCACGAATGCTGCTGTTCGCGAACAGGGAGTTCGGCAAAATTTTGCTTCCGTTCGTGAACTTCGCATCGGGTGACGAACACAACCGCAGCCATCTTCCCTGCTCTGACACTGGTCGTGACTTCCTCTAGTCGAGATGGTAAAGGATGTCACCAGCACACCAAGCTGATGTCCATATTAATGACAGACATTGCCATTCAATAGCAAGTGCTTTCGGGGCCTCGCTGGGTCATTCTGAGCCTGATGACGGGGACCCTGCGAGGCCCCGAAAGTACTTGCTATTGAATGGCTATGTCTGTCATTAATATGGACATTTGCTGAGTTTATCAGCTTGGTGTGCTGGTTACATCCTTTACCATTTCATATGTTTTCCCGGTGCCTCCGTGGTCACTGCGAGCACCCATTCACCTATACCATCTTCCAGGAGATCCGGTAAGGAGTGCAGCAAGATATACATATTTTTTTCCTCTAGTCGAGATCGTGGTCTGATCACAGTTTGATTCGGTTCGTGATCAGAATTGTGGAACTTATTACGTTCGTGAACCGAGGTACCACTGTATAGCACTGAAGATGAAACAGAGTTTTACTGTAAAGAGACGCACAGCTAGGACGTGGTCGGGGTCATGTTTTTTTCTGTCGCAGTGATACTTTAAAGCAGCAGAGGGAAGAACTCCTGAATCAAGCTGTAACCTTGTAGTAAATCTACCTCCTAATCCATCTCACTGCTCCTGTTGAGCATTTCCTTGCTGTGCGACAGGATTCAGAATCGTCCCCTCTAATGTTTTATAATGTTTCATACGGTCTCACAGTGTCTTTTAGGAAAGTGTTGGGTCTCATGTGTCTTCTTACTCATCACCTTTTTTTTTCTTTCCCCCTTCCTGTCACTGTTAATTCTAACTATTAAAGTCCAGTTGGATTATTTCGGTGGAGCTGGCGATCGGCCCTGAAGAGGGGATCAGTTACCTTACAGACAAAGGATCTAATGTAAGTTTCTGGGTTGTGTGTGTGTTTTCTTCCATACACTTTTAATTTCCCTATTCTGGTACACAGGATACACCTGAGGAAAGTGAGAATGTACTGTAGGTGGAAGTGGAGATAGAAATAAAACATTTTGGAGATGCATGTGCGTATGTCCTCTTCTTCTGGTGACTTCCTTGGGCATAGCCTGCCCAATACCACCGGTCCAGCTCTTTAACCCCGTGTAGGCTGCATGTGAATAGACAAAAATAGAGTAGTTTAAAGTGAACCTGTGTTTTGCTCATGTAAGGAAAAAGAACAGGTTTACTTTAATTCCGTCCTCCCTAGCATCATATACTCGTCTTGTGGACTGTCCTCGCCGTCCTCGGGTATAATTCAGTGCTTTGGGTCTTGCATTAAATGTGATAACGTCAGCGGACCTCTGACTGCCAAAGCACAGGGGTTGAAGAAGTTGCAAGTGCCGGTCTTGGAGCCTGCGGGAGAAGGGATCAGGTAAGAAGAAGTCCTTTACGCAGGTACCCTAGACATAAATTAGAAGTTAACTCTTGAAGTGTGGGGGTATCTCAACTGCAAGGGGAGTTTTTTTTGGTTTTCTTATTATTCTGGAGGTAGAGTTTAAAGTGACATTAAACTCTCAGATTTTTTTACATAAACCAATACTGTAATGTGTGCCTTACTGTAATCCATGGTTGTTTCCCTTCTCTTTGCTGCTCTTCCTTTTAAATCTGTATCTGTTCTCATGCTTGGGGAGAATTTCCCTTTGGTAGTGAGTGCCTACCGCATGAGAAGAGAGACGGATTTAAAAGGAAGAGCAGCAAAGAGAAGGGAAACAACCATGGATTACAGTAAGGCGCACATTACAGTATTGTTTTATGTTAAAAAATCTGAGGGTTTATTGTCACTTTAAGCTCAGCTTCTCTGACTTTGGAGATGAACCCTGCCCCCTGTATCTAAGCCTCACCTAAATAAATCCTCATGTTTGAGAGCACCACCAGTAAGATAGTCATGCATGTATAGATTTTTTTTGTCATCAGCCCATGGCCCAAGCTATAGAGAATCATACTCATCCACACGGAACAGTGTGGATGGAGGAATTTCCACTGCCAACTAGGGATGTACCGATACCGAGTATTTGGGCAAGTACTCGCCCAAATGCTCCGATACCTTCCCCAATACAGGAACTTCAGTGCCGTAGGGGATCATGGAGCCGGTTTCCCGGGCAATCAGGAAGCCGTGTGGTGAGTAATGACCCGCCTCCCGGCTTCCTGATTGGCCAGGAAGCTGCCTTCCCGGCCAATCAGCATCCAACAGGCCAAATAGCCGGCTCCTTGCTGATTGGCAGGGAAGCCGGCTTTCCAGCCAATTAGCATGGAGCCAGCTTCCTGGCCAATCAGGAAGTCGGGAGGTGGGTCATGATGGGCCGGGAAGGTGGCTCCATGCTGATTGTCAAGGAAGCCGGTTTCCCAAACCATCACAATTGAGCCAGCCAAACAACAGGGAGCCGGCTTCCAGGGCAATCAGGAAGCACCCGTATCTCAGTACTCGGTATCGGCGAGTACCGAAAGCAAAATATCGGTACTTGTACTCGATAATGAAAAACGGGTTTGGGTACATCTCTACTGCCAACTGTTAAATTAGATAGCTATTGTCTGACTACCTAAATAGTGACTGCATCTGATTTTCCTGTATCAGCCCTTACATCTCTTCTCCCCCCCCCCCCCCCCCCCTCTCTCTCCCCTC